AAGTGTTAAAAGATTTCAGCCCTGCCCTGTCATTAGTCTATCAAGATGTACAAATATCAAAGTAGGCTACTATTTCTGTACAGTGTTTCTAGTTTTAAGATCAACAGAATAAACAACCAAAATTCACAAAACGTGTACAAAACGATTACATGCACCATGCGATTATGAAACTAACGTGAATGCATGGCGAGTGAGAAACGATAAAACGTACTCGGAGTTGTTTTGCAAAAGCACCCTCCCTTTTCTCTTCCAGTACCGGCTCACTTTTCTTGCTTATTAGAAATATTGTGGGTACAGCATCGGGACGAAGCATTGCCTTGAACTTAATCCCAAACTGATATTGTTGATCGTTGGCGTTTCGATCAAAACAAGAAGGCTCGAAGTGTGCGGAGCAGATCACTGAGTACTCGTTTGGTCCGACCACTTGGCTCGGGTCAGTTTCACTTTCACCGTCCAAATTCGTCTACATTTTGGGTCAGATGGAAAACGATGCAGACTGAAAGCATCTTTGGTAGTGTTGCTGCAAAAAGCAACAATACAGGTCGGTGGCATTCTGAAAAAACTACGGTATTTTCGTGAAGGAGTGCGGCGAAATTCTCAAGAAACTTTATAAGAAGTACGTGTGACGCTGCCGATCGAGCTGCCACGCATAACCGGGAAAGTATGCCGATCTCCGGAGTTAACGTCACACATTCTTATATTAATGAGGAGATAGGCGGGGCGTGTTGGTCAACCCTCAAACAGGTTTTTTTTTAATTGATATCAAGGCGGTGCAACCAAGGTAAAATGAGAAAAAAAAATTGTTCAGGTAGAAACACTTTATCAATTGAAATAATAAAAAACACATTACAAAGACCCTCTAAAGCCGTGCATTTCCGACACAATCGAGCGCCAAGCTCAGGGCTGTTCCCCAGGCGAACCCGACTCTAGGGCGGTGGCGTGGTTGCTACCGCGGGGTGAATTGCCATCCTCGGAAAACCTTGTCCGAGAGGCTCGGATGTCCGGGGTTTCTTGCAGCCGAGCGGGCCGGGCGTCTCCAGCTTGCCATCTATCGGCTCGCTGGCCCACCCGTGGCCTCTGAGAGGGCTTTGCCCCGGGACCGGTTGGGCCCAAAACGTGTGTATGTCAATGAGAGCATTTTGGACCTTTGCCTAATTATAGGGAGGGGGGTGTTCTCGAGCTCATAGGGATAGGGTGGCAGGGGTAGTGGGGTCTAGCAGCAGGGGGAGGAGGTCAAGCGCGGGAGGCCAGCTGGCGCCCAGTGGCCCTCGGGCGGACTAGACTTGGAGGAGGAGACCGGGGAGGACCAGCAGTGGGAGGGCCCCCGGGGCGGGACGGGCGGCGGGGCCCCGTCGCTAGTGGGCCAGAGGTGTCCCGGACTCGGCAGTGCAGCGGGCGTAGCTGGAGGAAGGCCTGCCGGAACTGACGGCGGAGTGAACGAACGCATCTCCGGTGGCCGAGGATTGGCTGCTGGGCTGCATGTCTGACGCAGCAGCACCAAACTGACTTGAAATCCACGGTTAATAGTATACCCTGCAGGAGGGCTCTCGAGGAGTACCGCCAGGGTGCCGAGTCGCCACGTCGGTCCCAATGCCATCGTGCGATCAGCTGTTCGACATGGATGAACTGGGGCCTCCAGCCCGAGGGCGGCATCTCGCAGCGGGCGGCGTCGGTCCCGCCGCGGGTGCCGGACGGGAGCGTTACGTAGGCGCGGTGCGCGCTGAAGATTTCTTCCTCGGGCTCCGTTGTCCGCGAAAGGGCGCATCTACGGTCTCGCTTCGACTCGGGTGCAAAACCCGACTCGGCCCCACCCGTGAACACGTCGGTGAGGCACCCTAGCTCCCAAGAGCGTCTTTCGTCGGGGTCTGTTGAGCTAAAACGTGCTCCAAGTGGGCGCAGGACTCCCGAGCCGAACAAGAAAGACACGGGCGGCTTCGACGGAGCGCGCCAGAAGGAGGCCAGGCAAGCAGGCAGGCAGGGCAGGCCAAAAGAGAAAAAGGGGACGCCCGGCCCCGCCAGCGGGGACAGAGTGCTGCCAGCCCCGTTTCAGATCTCCGAGTGGACCGCCGGAGAGGGAGTGGGGGCCCAGCGCCGAGAGAGAGAGAGAGAGTAGAGAGCCTTTGCGGACGGGCTGCGGAGGGGCCCCCCTTCCTGGCAGCCGCCGAGGCGCCGGGCAGGACCCTGATAGGCGAGAGAGAGGCAGAGGCCCATTGCGAACCCATCGACCTCAGGTCTTGCGAGAAGACCCACTCCAATTAAGCATATCACTAAGCGGAGGAAAAGAAACTAACCAAGATCCCCCCAGTAGCGGTGAGCAAAGCGGGAGGAGCCCAGCGCCGAATCTCCGGGACCCCAGCGGGCCTGCGGGAACTGTGGCGTAATGAAGTCCGGTCCGGCTGTCGCGGCGGTGCTGAGGTCCTTCTGATCGAGGCCCTATCTGTCCCGTGGCGGGTGTCAGGCCCATGCGGGCGCCGTCCGGCCGGTGACCACGGCTGCCGGGAGTCGGGTTGTTTTGTAGCGCAGCCCAAAGGCGGGTGGTAAACTCCATCCAAGGCTAAGTACCGTGAGGGAAAGTTGAAAAGCACTCTGAAGAGAGAGTTCAAGAGTACGTGAAGCCGTCGAAAAGCAAGCAGGAGGGCTGGGCAGATCGGGCCGGGGAGATTCAGCGCGGCCGGCGCGGTGTCCGCCGCGGTCCTGCACCCCCCTAGCCGGGTGGCGGGGTCCGGGGGCGCCCCCGGCGCACCGCCGCCCTGCTGCCAGCCCCCCCCCCTGGCTGCGGATAAGGAAAAGCGGGCGGCTCGGACCCGAAAGATGGTGAACTATGCCCGAGCAGGACCAAGCCAGAGGAAACTCTGGTGGAGGTCTGCAGCGATTCTGACCTGCAAATCGATCGTCCGACTTGGGTATAGCGGCGAAAGACTAATCGAACCGTCTGGTTGCTTGTTCCCTCCGACGTTCCCTCAGGATAGCTGGCGCCCGGGAAAGAGAGAGAGAGAGCAGTTGCATCCGGTAGGCGAATGATTAGAGACTTTGGGGCCGAAATCACCTCGACCTATTCTCAAACTTTAAATTGATGCGGGGCCCGACCCGCCATATTGGGGCCAGGCCCTCAATGCACGGGCGCCCAGTGGGCCCTTCTTAGTAAGCAGGACTGGCGCTGCAGGATGAACCGAACGCCGGGTTAGGGAGCCGCATTGCGGCCGACGCTCATCAGAGCCCAGAAAAGGCGTTGGTTGATACGGGCAGCAGGACGGTGGCCATGGAAGTCGGAGTCCGCAAGGAGTGTGTAACAACTCACCTGCCGAATCAACTAGCCCTGAAACTGGATGGCGCTGAGTGTGCCGCCCACACCCGGCCGTCGGGGCAGAGAGCGAGTGGGACCGCCGCCCTGGTGGTACGCCCCGAGGAGTAAGACAGCCGCCGCGCGGCGCGTCGAAGCGCCGGCCGCGAGGCCGCGTGCAGCCGCCGTGGGCGCAGATCTTGATGGTAGTAGCAAATATTCGAGTGAGATCCTCGAGGGCCGAGTGGCGGAGTAGGGTTCCATGTGAACAGTAGTTGTACATGGGTCAGTCGATCCTAAACCTTAGGGAAAATCCGCCCCGAGCGGAGACGGGCGCCCCCCTCCTCGCGGGGCCGGGGCCTCGCCCCCCGGGTGAAAGGGAATCGGGTCAATATTTCTGAACCCGCAGGGGGAGCCTTTCGTCCTCCACAGCGGTCCGAGCTGCGAAGCAAGCGGGCCCGCAGACGCCGGCCTTGGCCCCGGGAAGAGTTTTCTTTTCTTGGTAAGGGGTGGGATCCCTGGAATCGGCTTGTCCAGAGCTAGGGGCTGCGGTCCCTTAGAGCGCCGCGTCTCCGGCGGTGTCCGGTGAGCTCCAGCCGGCCCTTGAAAATGCGGGGGAGTGCGTGGACCGTCGCCTCGGGTCGTACCCAAAACTGCAGCCGGTCTCCAAGGTGAACAGCCTCTGGTCGATAGAAAAATGTAGGTAAAGGAATTTGGCAGGCCGGATCCATAACTTCGCGAGAAGGATTGGCTCTGTGGGCTGGGTCGGTCGGGCCGGGGCTGGAAGCGGGTCGCGGCGCCCCATGTCCGAGCGGCAGCACTCCCCCCCCCGCCGGACCGCGGGGCCGTACGCGCGCAAGCCACCCTCCGTCCCCTCCGCCGCCCGCCCCGTCAAAGGGGCACGGCCGCTGGTCGAGAGCGGC